TCTGTTTATCCAGAATGGTCTGTACTATCATTGTTTGATTGTCAATTTTTATGCTTTGATTTTGTAACTTGAACAACCACATCTAAGATAACAATACCTAATTTATCAACTAGTGATTTCTTATTGTTGTCTTTTGACTAGTTATTTCCTTCTTTTTGTTGAAATTCTGTATTCTAAAAAATTCTGTTTTATCAAACATACTTAGCAGATAATTAAAAGACAAATGACAGATTGTTATTTTCTAGTTTCTGGCTATTATTAATAATCTTTCTGGGAACACTTTCCTGCCAAAAAGGACCAGGTTTGGGAGGTTTCTGCTAGGAAGAAAGACTATATTGGCTTTGGGTTCTTCCACATAATGTGTGTTATGCCTTGGTAGAAAGTTTGCCTGCATTTTGCTCATGTCCAGAGATTTTGTCTGAGACTGAGATTAAAGGTGGCAGAATGATTAATCTGGGAGAAGAAATTTCAGGGCAGTCTAATGTTGAATCAGTGGCAGGACTACTGTTGGGAGTTTTTAGCCAGCGCTATGTTGAAAATCAAGAACAAAAAGTCCAGAAAAATGATTCAAAACACTGTGAGTTTGGCCAGAAAAGAAGCTCCAATTATTCCAGTCTACAAAGATAAAACAGAAAAGATATTGGTCACTTAAAAGACTAGCAAGAAAACGCCAAGTTATTTCAGGAAAAGACAACAAAAAACAATGTCCTGAAAACAACACAAAAACCAATAGGACTCCAGGCTTTGCAGCCTCAGAGTTGCAAAAGTAAAAGACTTTGCTTTAGAAAGAGAGCCCTAGGGGCTGGAGATTTAGCTCAGTGGCATAAGTGCCTGCCTTGCAAGCACATGGTCGTGAGTTTGATCCCTGGTACTGGTAAAAAAAAAAAAAAAAAGAGAGAGAGAGAGCCCCAGAGCACCATGTTCCAAAATGGCAGTGGCCTAAAAGAGTTGCCCTTTGGGATGCAGCTCATAGAGGCATTCAACCCCTACAGCAAGGAGAGAAGGGAGCTTGGCTACTAGTTCAGCTGGTGGCAGACCCTGGCTTCATCCACATGCTGCTGGTTTTAGGTGCATATAGAATGCAGGAGTTGTAGAGTTAAGAAGGCTTTCACTCAGATAGGTCTGGGAAGCCCTTCTGAGAGGGCAATGTGTGTGTATAAAGTTGTAAGTGTAAAGCCAAAGGTACAGTAGAGACCCCGTAAGTGTAGAGAAATAAAATATGTAGATCATCTGAGAAAAAAAGAGAGAGAGAGAGAGAGAGAGAGCAGTAGCAATCCAAGAGAAAAGTCATGAGTGATGCAATTACTCAGCATCATAGAGGCAGAACCACCCAGTCCCTTTGGAGTTCACATCTTGTCATGCTACACATAAAACTACAGGACTTAATGTTTTCCCTGCTAGATTTTCAGCTTGCTTCAGACCCATTCTTTTATTGATTGATTGACTGATTGATTGATTGTATTTTGAGACAGGGTCTCACTATGCAGTTCAAGCTGGCCTTGAGCTCACTGTGTAGTCCAGGCTGATCTTGAACTTGCAACAGTCTTCCTGCCTCAGCCTCTTGAGTGCTGGGATTGCAGGCATGCACCACCACATGCAGCTGGTCCCATTCTTTTATAATTCCACTATTTGTATCTTTTAAAAATGGCAGTGTTTATCTTATGCTCTTACAAGTTAGAAGTGTTTAACTTTCATTTGTACAGGGGCTTACGGCAAAGAGGTAACCTTATATCTCAGAGGAGACTTTAGACTTGAACTTTTTTTTTTTGTCTTTTTCCTTTTTATCGGTACCGGGGATCGAACTCACGACTGCCTGCTTGCAAGGCAGGTGCTTATGGTGCTGAGCTAGATCCCCAGCCCCTTAGACTTGAACTTTTAAGCAATGCTAAAACTGTTAAAACTTTGGAAACTCTTAGAGATAGACTAAATACATTTTGTATAAAAAGAGATACATGAGTCTTTGGGCGGGGGACAGGGGTAGAATGTTACAGCTTGTGTCTAGATGTCCCCCCAAATCCTCTTGCAGTCATAAGTGAGGATTTTTCAGAGGTGGCTAGATCTAGAGTACACACCGCTAAAGTTAATTCATGGTACATTGCTAAGATCAAGGGCACTAAGATTAAGGGTATGAGTATTCCCTGCCTTAAGTAGCCAAAATAAGATATAAGAGATAAAAACAGCTGTGATCATCCCTGGTGGCTTTTTGGCCTTCTTCTGCCCACCATAAACTGTTTTCTCCTCTGTGATGCCTGTCTGTTGTGCGACCCAGCCTTGGAGTCAGCCAACTATGGACTGAAACATCTACAAACTGTGAGTCAAAGAACCCTGTCCTACTTTAACTTTGGGTGTCAGATATTTTGTCTCAGCAATGAAAAAAAGTTAACTAAGACAATTCTTTAATAAAATATCACCTCAACCTTCCAAGACTGGCAGCAGAAGAATTATCTCTGAGGGAGGAGACAGCTAGACTTCCTGCTTTCTGTCAGAATTATCCATCTCTGGAGGGTGAGTCTCTCAGAGTTCAACCTTCAAACTCAATGTTGATGGTCTGATCACATATAGACTAGTGGCTAGTGGATTTACTCCTAAAGGTCACCAAAAGCCAGGCTGAATACACAGAACTCACCAGGTTTAGGGAAAACAAAACCAAAGGGTGCCAGTAAGAAATGCATCTTATATGATTTCTAGTTTGAAGAATGATTTAAGACAGAAGTCTGCAAACTTTTTGGCACCAAGAACCAGCTTTATGGAAAATAATCTTTGCACCAACCTGGAGAGGATGGTTTCAGGATAGTTCAAGCACATTACATTTATGGTACACTTTAATTTTGGTCTTAATACACAATAATATGTAATGAAATATTTAACAACTCACCATAATGCAGCATCAGTGGGAGTCCTGAGCTTGTTTTCCTGCACCTAGATGGTTTTATCTGGAAGCAACAGGAGATAGTGATACCCAAAGTGTATTGCTTATATCCAGTCTACTCAACCATCTCATTTTGGTCCCTGCAGTCTGTAATCTTATTTGGTTGCAAGAAATTGACTTATTTTGGTTTCTGTGCAGCCAAACCTCTCTGCTAATGTTAGTCTGTAACTGTAGCCACTGCCCGGACTAGCATCACTGCCTCAGCTCCAACTCAGATCAGGCATTATATTCTCATATGGTGCATTCTCACATGCACAGTTCACAGTAGGGTTATGTAATGGTTGATATATTGTGTCAACTTTAAATGTTTAGGTTAACTAACTCAGAAGGGGGCCAGGATCCTGACTTTGTAAACTTCCTGAGCCTGTGCAGGAGGAGGGCACCAAGATGGTGTGAATGCTACACTCACCTGGGGGCAGATACTGGCATACAATATGAGAGGAGAAGAGGTTTGTTTTTCTCTCCCATTCTGCTCTTTTTGCTTTTTCTGTCTTCCACACCCTTGATTTGTTGCCCCTCTCCCATGCCACCCTGCCTTGGAGCCAGCTGATCATGGATTGAAACCTCCACAAACTGTGAGCTACATAAACTTTTCCTTTCTTAATTTTGTCTCTGTATCAGTCAGTGTTTACTAAAGAAACAGATATAACACAAGACATACAAATATAAAAGAAATTACAAGATGGGCTTATGATGGCCAGCCACAGAGTTGGATGGGGAAGTGTGCAGGAGGTGTCTGCATGTTGGAGGCCGAAAGGTTCAGTTTGTGGTCTGGAGCTCACTGCAGTGTTCTGTGTGAGTCTATATCAGGAGGCTGATGCATCTGCAATGGAGGGCTGAAGAGTCTATACTGGAAGTTAAAGAATCTAAGCCAAAGGCTGAAATCTACACCAGAAGGCTGAAGAATCCCAGGCAGAAGGCAAATGGTCTACACTGGAAGCCAAGAGATGATGTCCTGGCTGAAGGTAAAAACTGGAGTTCCTCTGAAAACCAGCAATTAGTCCATCATCATTTCCCTTTTATTGTATGCAGGCTACCTGCGTAGGGTGAGTGTAGCACTCACACATCTCTTAGCCCTTCTCTTGCACAGGCTCAGGACTCTGGCCCCCTGCTGAATCACTTATTTAAACTTCTAAACTTCCCAGAAAGCATTGTACAGGCAGGGGTCAGTCATGGTGGACTCTCTTGGGAGGTGGGTTTTGAGCTTGACTTCAAGCAAGGGTCTTGTACTGCTAAGATTGGAAGGGCCTTCCAAACCAGTCATGAGTGTAAAAATACTTGAATCAAGTTTGGGGACGAGTCACGAGAGTGATTCTGAAGGATAGTACCCAGAAATAGGAACACAGAGGAGGCTTTGCCTTTTTTATCTTCTTCAACTGGAAGAGGCTGCTAGAGTTTGAGGGTGTGTGCCTCATTTTAGGCAACTGTCTTATTTCTGAAAATACAAAGCAGTAAGGAGTTGAGGAGCTTCTACTATGTCTCCGGCACTGAGCTAGATAAAAGCTTTGCTCTACATTACCTGCTCTGAAGAACCAGCATTATTAATTCCATTTTGCAGTTGAGGAAACAGGTCAGCGGTGAAATTTAGTAGCTTTTAGTGCCTGTGTCCTGTAGCTATGCAAATGTGGAACCCAAATGTAAACAGGTTTGTCTCTTCACCCAAGCTTTTGTGTCCCACACACAGTTTTGCAGGTTGAACATTTGAGAAACATTAGAAGCAATGATTATTTTAAGAAGTGCTAAATTTTCTTCCTAAGTCACATTCTATACATACCTTTTTTTGCAGAGGCTTGGGGCACAGTAGGATCTTTTCTTTATACACGATAGTATTTTATTTCATTCAACGCTCATCACTTCCCCATTTGACACTAGACGATGGAAACAGAAAATATCTTTAATACACTTTTCAGGTCCCCCTGTCCATTAAGCAGAAACCTACAAAGCAATATCTGTCCCAAATCCGTGTCTGCGGGAAAGAACTAAGTTTTTCCAAAGGCCCAGCCTAGAAGTAGAAACCGGGAAAAGTTGAACTCCGTGCGAACAGAAGGCACTGGCGCGCGGGCAAGCCGCAGCCTCCCGCTCCGCTAGGTGGGGCCGCGCCGCACTGTCTGCGCATGCGTGCGGGCCGTGGCGTGCACCCGACTCGCAGCCTCCGGCATCTTTGCCCTCTCGGTCCCGCCGCCCCGCGCCCTCCTTCCGCGTCCGGGCGCCATGGCCGATCCTCGCGTGAGGCAGATTAAGATCAAGACCGGCGTGGTGAAGCGGTAAGGAGCCGCAGCGGCCGGCGCCCCACTCTCTCCTCATGGCGGCCGGCGGGCGGGCGGAGCTGCGCAGGCCCTGGCGGGCGCCGACTCCAGGCCGCCCGGCTCGCGGGCCGCAGCGGGAGCGACGCCCTTCACTCCTCGCAGGCCCGGGTGCAGCGGGGTCCGGGGCGGGGGTCTGGGCCCGGTCAGCGTGGCAAGAAGCGGCTGTGGGCGGCGCCAGGCCACGAGGCTGTGGAGCGGACTCCGCAGCCCAGCGGGCCCGGCCGTCGGCAGCCCGGGGCTCCTTTGGGAGAGCCCGCGGCGGCGCCCGGGCCTCCGAACACGGCTGCGGGACGCTCGGCCAGCGGGCCTGGACTCCAGCGGTCCGCCAACTTCTGCGCCAGCCCCGCGCGTCCCGCCGCCGCCCCGAGGACGAGGCCGAGGCCGGCACCGGAGCGCGCGCTCCTAGGGCCGGGGCCGGCCGATCATCTCCCCGCTCCCAGTGCTTACTGGATCCGGACTTAGACCTCTGAAGGCCAAGCCGCAGGGCAGCAGCAGCCCAGGAAAAAGGATAAAGCAGTTTTCCGACTCAGCAGGTCCTCTGTGTAGACAGGGGTAGTCCCGGGCAGCCGGTGCTTTCCTCCTTATCAGAGAAGGCAAACTAGTGGGGGAATGAATCCACTTTTTAAACTGTTGCCTCTGAGATTCAGCACAGCGTCTTGCTTTCATTACTAAAGCATAGATATAGTGTGGTAGTATCGTAGTTCTGGAAATGCATAGCCCTTTCTGAATGGAGACTGCTTGGGTTAAGTCTCCATCCCACTTAGCCGTTTTGGAATACATTACATTGCATAGTGCTACTGTTAACCTCATTTTTAAAGTAAAAGTAACCATTTGATACAGTTGTTGCAAGGAACGCCTGCTGCACTGTTTGTAGCAAAGTTAATGTTAGCTAGTGATACTGTGGTCCCGTTTCCTACTTGAGACACTTAAGTTTCATTAAGTTTGAAAAAGTAACCAAAATCACCTGTGGTCACACTGCAGGATAGTGGAGCAAGAAAGTGAAACGAGGTTTCTGATACAGTATAGGACTTTCTTCTTTAAGCAGTGATGCTCAGGGTTTTAAATTTGTCATAAAAGGGGACTTGAGATGTATAATTGAAAACATACATACCATTACTAAACCCACAGCTCAATTATCGTTTACTGCGCAGGTATTATAATTTTATTCAGTATACTTGGCAGAAGTACCAGAATGAATTGGAGAAGGCTTTAGACTAAAAATCATGAGAAATTTCTTGTAACAGTGGTTTCGTGTTTTCTGTATGACTTTAACACTTCTCATTCAAATAATCTAACCTGTCTTACAAAATCATTCCGTTTCAGTTGTTTCATGTTTATGATACATGTTTTAGAGAAGACTCATTGAAATAGATGTAAACTAAGTTCTTAGGATTTAAAAAATTCTCAAGTACTAAGCTGCATGTGGCCAGCCTGGACAGTTTGTCCAGACTCTACCCAAAATAAAAATTTTTAAAAGGGGCCAGGGATGTAACTCAGTGGTATGGTGTTTGCTTAGCATGCACAAGGTTTTGGATTCAGTCTCCAGGATCACCAAAAACAAAACCAAAAGAACTTTCAAGTATCTTAGTGATCTGCTTAGAAACAGAGCCTTTTTTTTTTTTCTTTCTATTTTTGGTACCAGGGATCGAACTCAAGACCTTATACTTGCCAGGAAGGCACTTGCACCACTAAGCTAAATTCTCAGCCTTTTCTCAGAGCTTTTGTTGTTTTCAGTAACAGTACATTATTGAAATACTAACAACTTTATTATTGATAGTCATTATTGATATGCTTAATACCTCTGTAAATTAAAATTTTATGACATCTTCATAATTTCCATAATTGCAAATTGCTTATAAGTTAGTGAAAATAGCTATCATATATTTTTTCCCACACTTTTTCTGTTGCCATTTGGGTATAGAATTTCCCTTGTATATTATACAATAGGATGTATTTTTTTTAAAAAATTGTTTTAGGAATATTTATTTATTTTTGTCTTTTTGAGACGAGTTTCACTATGCAGTTTAGGCTGGCCTTGAACTGATTTTGTAGCTCAAGCTGTCTGCGATGCTCCTGCTTCAGCCTCTCTAGTGCTGGGGTTACAGGTGTGTGCTACCACATACAGACTTTTAGTGATAATTAATATATAGCATTACTTATTTTTAAAGGCATAATGATTTATGATTAGTAATGTAGTAATGTCTTGATTTTTAAACCCACTAAATCCATAAATATTATTCTCATAAAAATTATTTTAGTATTACTTTTCTCATCTTCTGCCTTAGTATCCTATTTTTAAAATCTGTATTAGGAGGCTGAGGCAGGAGGATCACTGTGAGTTCAAGGCCTGCCTGGGCTACATAGTGAGTTCAAGGCCAGCCTGAACTACATAGTGAGACCCTGTCTCAAAAAAACAAAACAAAACAAAACAAAAATCTATATTTTGCCTCACCAAAGGGATGAAAAATAGATGAGGCAAGTATGACAATATATTTATAATTTTGAATATGATCATGGAACTTTATTACATTCTTCTATATATGTTAAAGATTTTTCATATTAAAAAGGGCTTAAAAGTATACTTTTCCCCCATCCTGTCCAAATTTAGTTTCAAAGACTTAAAGATTATGATCAGACATGTTCTTGGTTTTGGCGAAAGAGCTTTTGCTCATTAATTTATTTAAAAGTGGTCTGAAGACCAGCTTTTGTTCTCACCTACTTCTTTTCTAGTGAAATGATCACTTCTTACGGTCTCATTTCTCTTCTGAAGTCACAATTTGGAAGAAGCAATTTAAAGTCATCCCTCATACCTCCAGTTCCTTCAGTTTTCTCTCCAAAAGTTGAGAACTACTAGAAATTGTATTTAAGGTATTTGTCTTAGAGCTGAGTTTGAGTAGGTCATACTAGGGAGAATAATCTCTTAGGGGTTACAGTCCAATCAGATCTTTTAAAACACTTTAGGTGATTCAGAAATTGCCAATTGTGGATTTTAGGAAGAAATTTAGACAGGAATATTAAGTATTAGGGGCGTGCACAAATGAGCAGTAGGTAGATGGTGGTGTTTGGCAACATCAGGATTGGTCAATGAGTAATAGATTGTCATTTCAGCATGTTGGCAGGATGCTGAAGACAGAGTACTGGATGGTATCCTATGTTAAGCAAGAAGGAAGTTTCAGGGGCTGTGTCTTAGGCAAAGGATAGAAGGATAGGCAGAAGAAGCCTCATAGTGCTAGAGATACTTTGTTAGTTGTATAGTAGCAGGCAAAGGATCTGCTCTCTGGAATCGGTTTCAAGAGGGAGGTTGTTTGGGACAAAAAAAAGTCCATTTAATTGGACTGCACCTGGAATGACTTGGTGCTCAGGCTCTAATCCAGAAGCCTCCTTAAATATCTTCCAGTAATAGTATTGTGTTTTAAGGGCTGATTTTTGCTATGCAACTACAGAGAAATGTGTATGAGAGGCAAAATGAGTAACTGCACTGTGTTTTCTGGAGCAGCAACCTTTGTTAACATGTTTGCTTATTGGCACATCCTAATTAAAAAATTTGAAACTCACTGAAGTGCTCCAAAATAAAAACTTTTCAAGTGCTGAAACATCACACAACAAGTTTCAGATTTTAAAACATTTTGAATTTTTAGGTTAGAAAGGCTCTAAAGTTTATGCAAATACTGAAAATCTGAAAAACTGGTATCTGAAAAAGTTCTGGTCACAAGCATTTTGAGTAAAGGATACCCAGCCTGTGGTGGGAATCAGTTGGTAGATTTGGGTCTGGCTGGCTCTTTTTAAAAATGTAGGTTTATGTTTCCTGCCGATTGCTAGGACTGTTGTTTGTTACCTGTGACAGGGTCACAGCTAATCTGGCAGCCCTAGCAACGAGACACCAAATAATAGCACAAATTCTCCTTTACAGAACATGAGTGATAGCCTCCCCCCCACACTTTTTTTGTTTTTATTTTGTTTGTTTGGCATCAGCCATCACAACTTAGAGCATTCGGTGCTTAACCTGAAAAAACCACAGGCAAATCAAGATGATTTATTAACTCTTCTGTAATGAGCTGGCATCGCCCTGTTTTGTGTGTCCTGTGATTTGTTTGGAGGCTATTGTGCATTGGACCTTTCTTAAAATTTAAATGCACGATGTAAATATGAACCCTTACCAGAGTAACTTTTTCTTCTGTTAAAGATTCAGAAAATTCACTAAAATAGAAGATAGGATTGATATTTTCTAAATATTGATGTGTTTTAGCTAATTGTCTTATTCTGCCATAAGTTTTTGAGTACGTTTTGTATTTATATAAATTGTGATAAATTCAGGAAGCTTTTTCTGCAAGACAGAATACTTTCATCCATTTAACATAAAAGGTTACTTAATAACTCTAAAGACAATTTACTTTTACAATAAAGTTTGTGATAGTCCACTGGTAGAATTAATTGAATAAAAATACCTTCTTAAATATATCTTTTTTTGTAACTATTTTAGATTGGTAATGGCCTAAAATTCAAAGTGAACAAAGAACGTTCAGGCATTAGAAATACACTGACATTGGCCCATAGTTTTCCTCTGATTAAATGAAAGTGACACCAGTAGATTAGAATGAGACTAGGACAATTCACACTGCAATTGTGTTAGTTTAACTTTAACAATCTTTTAACACTCTTGTTTAAATGTAGCTGACATACCATAATTACAGATCTACAAGCCCTGATTATAAAATTTTACATCATGAACCTGTAGGGAAATTGTATTGATTTTTTTTTTTTTTTTTAATAAAGCAGCACTGTTCCCAAACTGTACCTAGCCTTGTTATGAATGCAGTGTGGCAAGTTGCACTCTTATTTTACTGCCATTAAGTTTATTGTCAGAAACAGTACAATAGTTTTGTTTTGAAAAAAGTCCTAATCCCAAAATTTGGAAATAAATCACCAGAATTACTAGCTATTCCTACAGTTTTAGTGCT